ACTGTTGCGCGTCCTATGTCCTGTCGTTTAGCCACAATGGGCCATCTTAACAAAGTATATAATGCACCACTAGATGTTCCTGAGACTCTCCTAACTTCTAAGCTTAAAAAAGCGCTTGGTTGACCCTTTTGCCATGGGTGACATCCTGTTTCTTTGGTTGACAAATGACTGATTGTGTTCTTAGCAGTCTAGTCCTTAGTGCAGTTCTTAGTGTTCCAGTCCTTTTTGAGAAGTTACAGGCAGTCCAAACATGAGAGCTGGTTAATGTGCTTAAATTCTTTGTGAAAAATATGGCATCAAAAAATCCAGGGTTTCCATAACACTGCAGCAGTGCTACAGGCCGATTGTCTCCATGTCATACCGCATAGATGCAGTAATCCATGCAAAAAGGAGCCCCGACCAAATGCTGAGTACATAAATTAACCTTTTTCAGAACTTTTCAACTTTTCAGAAGGTTGACACTTCTGTATTATAAATTCTTTATTCTAATATTTTGAGATTTGGATATAGGGAAATAAATGAACCTTTCCACAATATTCTACTTTTATGAGATGCACCTTTATAAATCTTGAGAAAAATCTCTAGCTGCTGAATGCTCCATTATGTTCACCAGCTACTCACTAACTGTGTCTGCTGTTTGGGGCTGATTGTGAACCCAAACAGTAAGGGTGACGGCTGTGAAATGACAAACAAGCTGAAATACATTAAAACTCTGCTTTTTAAACCCCTGCAAGTTCCGGTCTAGCTGGACCCGTAGCTTAGGTGGTCAGATGCAACAGCCGCAGAGGCATCATCATCACTAACACAGTGCTTTCTTTCTTGTGCTTGTACCTTGGTGTTTCTGTTTATGTGTGTGTGTGTGTGTGTGTGCAGTTGGGGTACCCAGGGTGACTTCACCACCACCCAGCCGTTACCTGCTGTGAAGGTAAAGCTGTTTACTGAGAGCACAGGAGTGTTGGCTCTGGAAGATAAAGAGCTGGGGAAGGTAAAAATTTAAATTGGTATAACCGTAATAGTATACAGTACAGAATATAGTGTTTAGCTCACATTATTATTATATGTCTGTTTCCAGGTTGTGCTCCACCCGACTCCCAACAGTCCCAAGCAGTCTGAGCTTCACAAGATGACAGTGTCTAAAGGCTGTCCAGACAATGACCTCAAGATCAAACTGGCTATTCGCATGGACAAACCACAGAACATGAAGCATTGTGGGTAAGTGGAAGTGAGATTCTGCATGCTGGTGGCCCCAGTAATTCTGAAATTAGATACCTATTCTGATTTATCAGATTTTCAGTTTAAGACATTATACAGTCGCTCCACCCTGATAAAAAAAAAACTCTTGGTGGTGGTAGCACCAATTGCAAACGTGGACAAGTCTACTGGTAGCAGAACGGCATATTTTACAAAGAGCAAACTGTGATATTAGATAAATATGAAGAAGTTAAACACATAATACTTGCTAAAAGCAACACAGTTGCAGCTGCCAAATGCAGGAAGACAGAAAATTGCAGACTGTGTGACTGTGTATGTTAACAGGCTTATAATATCACTGACCCCGTCAATAGATTATGTGAGTAGATCTGACTGTGATTGCATTTGTGTGTTCCATTAATGTGTTACTGAGATGGATTGTTATGGCGTGTATGAATTTTGGCTTTATTCTTTAAGCTGCAGCAGCTGTGTATCAGAATTTTGACATTAAAAGCTGCGGGCACGAGTTCCAACTCATGTTCAAGAACTTTTCGTCACTTTAAAAATCATATTAATTTATATAACACACTTATGTTCCAAATGTTCCAAACATTGTTCTAAATCAATTTCATAAAGCATTGAAATGAAAAAAAATGCTTAAATGGTCGATAGACTGGATCTCAACCATGACTTCAGTCCCCAGTTACTGAAAACTCACCCACGTTACCTGCACCCAAATAGGAAAAGGTGGGGCGCTACATCACCAGTCTCTATAATATAAGAAACAATGCAACTTTAATTTTAAATAAACAAATTCATATTAAACTTAATTTGAATTCCTAAATATATGTTTAGAATATTTAGCCTTACATAAAAAGAAAGATTAAACCATTTCTTTTAACGGCTATGGCAGACTGGGGAGCCAATAAAAAATAAATATTAAAACATTTCAAAGCTGTAAGTACTACTTCTAATGCTTCTGTCGTATTCTCTGGTTCAGGAGTGGCTTGACACTAAGAATGCAACACCTTCTATTCATGGTGACTCTTGACAATTCCAGCCTCAGTCCACTCCTCGTGTAGCGCCGTCAAGTTCTTGAATTGGCTTTGCGTGGCCATCCTCTCAAGGCTGCGGTCGTCCTTGTTGCTTGTGCACCTTCTCCTACCACACCTTTCTTTCTTTCTTAGTTCATGATCTCTGTATCAGTCTGGGAAAGCACCAAAAATATGCTATCAGGGTGTTAAACAACAGAAGTTGTTATCCTAACAGTGCAATAAAAGTCCTTGAACAAAACAAACATAACCTTTTGGCTTCCAACCAAATAGTATTTTTTAACATAGGTTGGTGTCAAGAGTTCACCAAAGAGAGGGGAAATCCCCAGGACTCAAGTGTTCCTGTTCTGTGGAACATTGAGTCCTTTATGTCTACATTACGTGAGTAGGCCTATGTCAGATAGAGGCTTTACAGGCAAATGTGAAAGTTTATTATTTACTCTGCGCTACACTATCACTGCATCTTTAATCAGCAACGTGCACTATGGAATAGGTGTTTTACTGGAGGTTCTTTGCCCAAACGTAATGTTTTGCTTCCCTCTTGTGGTTATTATTTGTTACTACACAGACTTAATTTTCCAATGTACTAAAAGGCATGACAGGGAAATGTTTTTTAAGGATGGACCCACAGCAGACCAATACAAGGTCATGGAGCCCATTTGATAAGATTCTGAATTGTGTAACGGCATAGATGGAATTAATGACATTAAACTGGCTTGCCTTTTCTGCTCAGCATGTATCAGCTATCAGAGTCTTTCATCATAGATCTGCGGTAGAAGATTCAATTTGATGGATTACCTAGCTAGTGTACTGAAATTGAACCCAAGAACCCGACTGTTCCCAGCGGATCCTGGGATTCAAGCTGCATTTTACAGTCCTGTGTTAAATTCTGTCACCTTATTTCTCATTCCATGAAGGTTTACATTGAAACAAAAAACTGGCCCCAACACTGATGTTACTCGACTTTACTTCATAGAAACTTAATCATAACTCACAGGTCTGTTTGTTTTGTTGCTATAAACATCTGACAAACGGAGAGCGTCTGCTCTGGCACTGTTTTGAGTGTGTGAGGTGTACAAGCACTCAGAAGACAGGGAAACTGAGATCCGTGTGGGCACATGAGACCCTCGAAAAGAGGAGACACCGCTCGTAGTACCACCAGCTGGTGCAGGAGCTTCGTCTTAATGATGGTTGGTTTAAGGCTTATTTTAGGATGAGTCTGATTCAGATTCATTCTTTATTTGTTTTCACAGTCTGTACAAAGAGCATCACTACGCATAGTACACACATATAAGGACATGTATGGACAATATACACATATCTACACATAACACAAAAGTGACACTATTAATTTGTCTGTAAGTTTAACGCTCTTATAGCACAGGGTACAAAACTTTTTCCGAAGCGTGCCTTTTTGTAGAGCAGCTGTCTGTATCTACGGCCAGATGGGAGAAGGGTGAAGCATGAGTTGAGAGGGTGGCTGGGGTTTTGTACTATGGTAGTTGCTCTTCGAGCAGTGGCAGTATTAATGAGGGCTGGGAGGTTGGGAGTGGGAAGACCTATTATTTTGGAGGAGGTGTTAGTAATTTTAAGAAGCTTATTCTTATTGGTGAGAGAGAGAGCATGGTGAAGTAGCAGGTAGCACAGTACAAGAGGATGGGTTCAATGATACTACGGTACAGGAGAAGCAGTAGGTGTGGTTTGACTGATAGAGTCCTGAGTTTATGAATGACAAAAAGTCTTTGTTGAAAGTGTTTGTGGATGTCTGTGATGTGGTGTGGGACAGACTGTAAACTTCCGTCAGCACAACTGAGGGCCCGTCTCTCCATTCATTATATTGGACAATGGGAAAAAACGTGAATGACGTCGGGCAAGAGTTGAATTTTTTTCAACTCCATGCACTCATTCAAAAACGCAAGGTGCAGCAGGCAGGTGCATTAACAGCGCGTAGAACAGCCAAAAGAAAATATTTTCAACTTCAAAAAGGGGTCGGACTGCCAGAAAGGTTTAGAACCCCTGCATTAAAGCATACAATTCGACAGCAGTAAGTATCCACCACATGAGTGAATTCGATGACTGTATGCCTGCAGTGGCAGTGACAGTGTTTTATACACACTGGTGCACACACTTCCTGCCTCAAAGCATTGCTCTTCTGTCTTTAGCTGCGAGGAGCTGCATGTCTGCCTTCCTCACTCCCTCCCCTCCATATGCTTCTTTGAGTGCCTTAGAGGAGCCTGCAGAGCTGCACTGTAAGATGCCCACACTGTCTTCCTATACCATGTTACCGGTCCCACTCTCTGCTCAGCACGCGGGCAGGGCCCTCATGTGTCACCTCATGGATGCTGGTTTATTTGGGACGACAGGCAGAAGCAGCTCTGGGAGGGACTGGGGGGAAAGGCACACTGAGGCAAACGGAGCAGGGCTAACCAGGCATACCCACAGCGAGCCTGGGAGCACTAGAGACTAACCAAACTGGGGTCCTCACCCTCAGATGTTCTTTTATGACAAAAGCCCTTTCCCTGTCCTTTTCCTTCTGCATCATGTTTTCATGTCAAATCAAAAAGAAAACGCAACACAACAAGCCTTAGTACTTGCAGAATACACACTTGTATTTCTAAGAAGAAAAGAGTAGATATGGAAGCTGACTGCTATTTGGTCTTTATTGCTGAATGAAATAATTTAAGTAACAGGCACCGAGCTTTTGGAAAATAACACAAACAAAGTGTGTAGTTCTCTGTCGTTGTCACAAACTTCTTTTACGCTTGATATATTTGTTTGATCATTTGTTTTCAAATGTTAGTCTTTTACTGAATTCTGCACCTCGAAACTTTGGTTGTGACCTTTACTATAAATCAAAGTCTAGTCTAGATCTCTATGTCTCAAGAGATACCAAATATTAAATGCTGAATTTCATAGAAAAAAAACATCTAGATGGCAAATGATTTTCCATCTGATGCAGAATAATGCACCATAAAGATCGTGTTTTGGATTAGATAAACGTACATATCCGCAACTTCCAGTTGGAGATACAGAATATACTGTGTGGAACAGATGTACAGTGTAGAGAAAATACAGTGAAACACTTTAAAGGGGTGGATAAATGGAAACATGATTTAGCAGAGTGATTTGATTTGGGGGAGTTTCAGGCAAAATGACCAACCGTTTAACCCTAATTAGACAATGTGTCAGAATGATGACTCATGTCCGACCTCTTAGCACTATTATCTGTATTGCATGAAGACATTATAATGATGCTTATCATTATTAAGGTATTTCTTCAAAATTACAATAAATGATTTTTATAATATTGCCCAGTCCTAGTTATGAAAGTTAGGAATGTGTTAGTCACCTCTGTACTCCATGGATCCCTTTAAAAGCACATGTACACAGTTTTACGGGGGATGTACTTTTTGTTGTTATTGATTAATTAGTGTCAGTAATCTAACAGCCCTAATTTCAATTCACTCTACAGTGCATACAGGTGTTACTGGTCAAATTAAGGATGGCTGCTGTGTATTTTAGATGCCCCACTTCGAGTTATCTGTGCACGCTGCCTCACAGATGGCTTACACTTAAATGGAAAAGAGGCACTCTTAGTGTCATTAGTTGCAGTACTGTGCTTATCCTACTACAACAAATATCTGTGCAAAGGAAGGTTTGTCAGCTTAGACACAAAACACCAAATAAAGAACAGAACAATGAGATTAAAAAAATGTGAAGCGTCTGGTTGCAGTTATGGCGTTTTACCAGGAGAGGTCAGTCGATGCACAACTCTACCACTCTGTATGTATCCTTTCTGCAGATGCGGCCTGTCGCATCAGACTTCTGTCATATCAGTCAAGGCAATGCAGAAAGAAGTTCACAACAGCTGCATGAAGGCCACACTGAGAAATCTCTTTAGCTAAATATTAGCGTTTTGTTTCATCCCACAGGTACCTATGGGCCATTGGCAAAAACGTGTGGAAAAGATGGAAGAAAAGATTCTTTGTGCTGGTTCAGGTAAGCACAGATAATATAGTTGTGCTACAAGTCAAACTGTATGTGATAAAACAAGAACATACACAAAACATGGTACACTTCATACAGTGGGCGAGGTGTTTGAATGAGCAGTGGCATTACTAATATCTTTCAGTTGCCAGTTTTGCCAGTCACGAAAGGAAATGTTTTTCTAATGAACTTGCAGTCATTACACCTGTCTCAGCTGCAAGCCTTAGTGCACTCTGAAGCTCTCAGCCCGAGGGCCTGGATCCCAAGTGGTGTCTCTTCCTATGCAGATGGGGGTGCCAGAGATTTATAAGACTGAGATTTATAGAATTTGTATATAGGTAGATGAAATAGTTTGAAATATAGCGTTATTTCTATGTAATCCATTCGCAACCATACTTGACCCAATACAACCTGCCATAGCACGCACCCCCGCCTTTGTCAGCTCAGACATTTTGTAAAGACATACTGTTTGCAGAGATGATTTCTCAATTAATCAATTAGTCGAGTGACATAAAATTAATTGCATCTATTTTTATAATCAATTAAGTCGGATGATTCAGTAATGAAAAAACATTTAGTTGCTGTAGATGATAGACGGACACATTTTCATGCAGATCCTTCATTTTCCCAAAATCTACAGAACCCTGTTAAGAAATTAGGATGTCTAACAAAAGTATATATTCCATAGCATTATTAAAGTTCTTGAGAACTACAATAGAAATAAATCTTTGACTGTACAATTATTATATCTTGATCTATAAAAACTGGGGAATCACTGATGGACTGGTGAAGATAATAAATTCATATTCCTAACAGGGAGAAAGCCATATAAACATGTTTTCTTGATCTTTGCTCTCTATCATACTTTCCACAAGATCAAATTTGGACTAAAGTGAATGTATGGTGAGCTCAAAAACCCAGTCACACCCAAGAGATAACCCTGAGCAGCCTTCAACATCAGCACCGCTTTGTGTCGATAATATTTTCACTGGCCACATGTGTGTGCAGCGAGGAAGCGAGATGCAGCCAAGCTGTCTTCCCTTGGCTGTCAGAGGAATGATGGAGAGGCCAAGCAGGCTTTTGTCAGGAGATGGGGAGATGGGGAGGTGGGGGTGTGGGCGATGGTAGCGGCCATTTCCTGGTGTTCCTCTGCATTGGGAGGTGGGTAGTAGGCGAAGAGTGTGGTGGTGGTGGTGGTGGTGGGGGTGGGAGGGGGAGGGGTGGTGGGGGGGTATGTCAGAGGATATGTCTCAGAGCTACAAGTTGACAGCAGATTGACAAAGTCGAGTGAACACTAGCTGGCCTAACACTCGCAGCTAGAAAAGCCTGAGCCCCGCCAACTTGAAGCCTCTCGGTGGCTCCCAGCTAAATATATAGCAAGTGACAAACACTGGTCAATAGACTGCGCACTCGTGTGTGTGTGTGTGTGTGTTTTGTTTTTATGTCTGTCTGCAGATGTGCATGGATGTTTGTCTTGAGCAGCACAGACACTATCTGGTTATTGCCGTGTGTTTGAGTGCTCATGTACTTTTTGTCGCTGTTTTAGAGATGTCTGTTTTTCTCATGAAAAGTGTTGTAAGTAAATACTCACTGTTGCCATTTTGTTACCCACGTCTCTCTTTACCACCTCACACTTGGATTTGAATCTATTTCCCTCAAACATATTTGTTAAGCTTGGCTCCTCCTTTTAGACACAAAAGCCTGAAGTTATACTATCATAAAACCTTCAGATATTCCAGCCTTTGCTGGTTCATGTTTTGATAGAGTACTCACATGCCGTATGTACGATAAAGGATTCGTTGGACTGTAATCATTCCTATTCTCCTGGCTGTGAAGTGATCACTTCCTAGTGCAACTCGAATGTAAGTGATGTTCAAAAATGCATTCTAAAGTCTCAGTCATAATACAGAGGATGTATAGTTACAGTTAACTAACAATGACTGTGGATTTTTTACCCCACCTCTTACATTAGAAGTACCTAACTAGGTTACAGTAACAAATAACTCTTTTAGTGTCCATATGGCAAGCGAAAATTGTTTTAATGCAGACTTAAAAAATGTCAACCTATCCTTTACACATAGTTTAGTATTATGGAACGTGTCTCTCACTGTGATGACTGTATCCACACTCGTTTGTACAATGTTTTTAGTCCTAGCTGTAAAACAGATCAAAAGAGCTGTTTTAAGAGTGAAGTTTCAAGATTAACATGTATGAGGAATACACACCACAAAAGTAGGTGTTTTTTTTTACAAGTTATAAGTAATTATTGGAATTGTACAATTTTTTAAAGATTTCTTTGCCATAAGAAGTGCATTTGTACCCTCTCATTTAATGCCTGTTTGTTGTTTGACGTTTCTCAACAGTCAAAATCAGTGTCCACTCAAATCCAGTGTCATTTTTGTTAGAGATATCTGGATGAATGATTTCGTATATGGGAGCATAAAGCATAGTTGCATGCAGCGTTCCAATATCTCTGTACGCCCATACTTCATGCAAGGTATCATGGGGTTAGGAAAAACTGTTTAAGGAGCACTTCCTCGTTATGATATTGTATGTATTGTAAAATCATTGCAGCGCTGACCTCTCTGGGGCTTTAAAGTCTGCTGGACCTTTTACCATACCCAACATGTCAGCTGGGTGTTAGGTGTGGTGTGTTGTACTTGTGATCACATAGTGCGATGCTACATCACTCAGCACAGGGTGAGCAAAGAGCAAGAGGATTATGAGACTCGGTGCAGTTACTTTATAAAAACTCTTACCACACCCTGAGATATGCTGGAAGATCATCATATTAGAAGAGCTGTTCTATTTGTCAACAAATCCCATCCCAAGGAAGCAAAAAAGAGAAAAAAAGTCGTTGTGCCATGTGCTTAGAATACTTTATACTAGTTTGTATTTAGAGTGCTTTATCTACTATGTAAATGTACTATGGTTTACTATATGCTTTAAGGCCTTTTTTGATGTGTCAATTTGTCAAGCTCCTTATCCTTTTCCCAACTTGTTACACAAGCCTCTCTGCCAGTGTTGAGAGGCCTGCATACAGAAATAACCTATACTGCAAAGCTGCATTAAACAGAGCTGCAGCTCTGTCATATAGTTAAATGTACATCATGTTAGAAGTGAAGGTGCATAATATTTCTGGATTTAAAATGTTCAGATCAGTTTCATTGTACAACATACTCTGTACGCACGTATACTGTATCCTTATTAGTACAACCAACAGTTTGGACTGAATTAGGAATTGAAATCTGAGTATAAGACACGTACTACATCTCAGAAGTTACGCCTCTGTTCATCCACTCCCTCCCTCTGTCTCTTCTCAGTCCTGCTGTCTTTGTCCATATCCGTTTTCTTCCTCCACGTCTTCTACTTTGGACTCATTTTCTCCTCCTCCTCCTCTCTCTTCTCCCTGTCATCTATCACTTGCCTGTCATCTCTTCATTCCTCATCCTCCAGTCTTCCTCTTTGTCCTTAAATCACCCCCTCCTCTTTGTCCATCAGTTCATAATCAGTACAGTGGTTGTGGCCTCCTCAGAGCATTCAGGCAGATTACAGATCAGCTAAACCTTGTGTGCTCATGGTGGACCAAATTTCATTCTACATGTGCCCACCATCTGTCTTTCCATTCCCCTAAAATTGCTTCAATTCAATTCTCTTCAGTTTAGTTCAGTTCAGTGCACTTTAGTTCAGTTAATTTTAGTCAAGTGATTTAAATTCACTTAAATTCAACTCAGTTCCCTGCACTTTATTTTAGTTGAATTAATTTCAGTTTGGTTAATTTCAGTACATTTGAATTCACATCAGTTCAGTTCATTTTGATTCAGTGCATTTCAATTCACTTAACTTCATTTCACTTTTATTTATTTCATTTTAATTCAGGTCACTTGATTTTGATTTACTTCAGCTCGTCTTAGTTCTTTTTTTTTCTCAGCATTTTTATTTATTTAAATTTTTTTCCCGTTCAATTGTGTTTAATACAACAAATCTGAATTCAGATAATTTAGCTTTATTTCACTATGTCAGTTTCATTCAATTTTAATTTTCTTTTGGTTGATTTATTTTAATCCAGCTCTATTTATTTCAGCTCAATTACTTTAATATCAGAAATAATATTAACCATGTCAGGGTTTGGATGTTTTTCCTTTTGGCTTCTGAAGTTTGTTTGTGAACACACATGCCACATCCAGCAAATCATCTGTATTCATGTCCATGTGTTTCCTGTAATGATGTGAATATAAAAGACTGTAGCAATCCTCTTCACTCTCTTCTTTTCTCATTCTTCATCACTGTCTGTTCCTCTGTCTCTCTTCGTGCTGACTGACAGCTGAGAGAGAGAGAGAGCGAGAGGAAGCTGGTGTTTTGGGGTATGGGGGGGGGGTCGGTAGTTTAGACTCTGATTTGCCTTTGTGGTGTCCTGGAGGCCAGGGAGCTGCTGGAGAGTCGGTCCGGTTCCCTCCATGCTTTAGTTGCCCTTAGGTCTCATCAGTGTTGTTGTGGGGAATCTCATTTGTCACACACACACACACACACACACAAACAGAGTTTGTCACTTTCAGGGACATTACATTGGCTTACATTCATTCCCTGGAGACTTAACCTAACTATAAACACTACTTACCTAAATGTAACCCTTACCCGAACCTTAACCTAAGCCTTAAATCACCCCAAAATGTTATGATTTACGTTATGAGGACTAAGGTTTTGTCCCCAAAAGGCAGATGAGTCCCCACAATGTGACTGTGAAACAGATTTATGTCCCCATAACATGAGCAATACACTCTAACACACACACACACACACACACACACACACACACACACACAGAATGCAGCTGCAGCTAGAAGTTGCCACTTGCAGTGGCAGAGGTGACAACGACAGCGGATTGGCCAGGCCTGGTGATTTGTGACGACAGGCTGGTATGACTGGCAGCTACAGTAGCAGCAGGCTAGCTCCAGCTAGCAACACAGTGTCACTACGCTTCCTGTTACCAACACAGGGAGCAGTGACAAGACTATGGCCACAATTATTCGATGAGGAATCTAATAACTGTCCACTCTGTTAGTTTGTTTTATGCTGATATATCTTTACATGATACAGGCAGCCCTCCCTCAAATGTGAAACTAAGTCCTTGTCACCATCAGTTATTGTGTGTGTGTGTGTGTGTGTAAGTGTAATTATAATAGCTATAATAGTAATGTATTTGGTCCACACATTCATGTGTTCAGGCATTTCAGTATTCTGTTGCTTGTCTGTGTGAAGCCAATGCCACAGTTTAGTGTGACGTTATTTTGAAGTGTCATATTTAAGTTGATGCCTAATTACTCTAACATCCATACACATTGTAAGCACTCGACTCCAGCCCACCAGCCTGTAGCAACCATACACCACCTAACAACTGTTACAAACACATGAACATATTTAATATTCCTCACACTCCAAGCAGCTCAGCTGCACATATGTTCATATTTCTCACAGGTGGCTGTCACTTTTAATTCAATAAATAAATAAGCAACAAGAATTAAACCTACCTACAGTACACGTTAATACTAAAGCTGAATGCATTTAAAACTTTTACTATCCTAATTTAAATATTTCCAGACTAGCCTTTGCAAATGGTATATGCTTAAACAAATGTAGCTATGCAAGATTTAAGGTGTTTCTGATTCAAATGTTTTGCTCTTTGGAATCTGAGTCAATGCTTCATCTGTTTGGTCCTGCCATGTTGTATCTGCCTCCTGGAGGGAGGTTGAAAAGATGTGACTTGACATGGAATTGTGACATCAGTTTGCATTTCTTTATGATACTGGAAAGTCTTTGAAAGATTGTAGATTTTCAAGTTTATTGTAGCAGAGGGTTAGTAAGGTTTTTGACATTTTCTTTAGGAAGAACTTCCCCTCCGAGGGACAGTGAAGTTTCAATTTCATAATGTGGTAATTTTTTACATGCTGTGTTTTTGTTATTGCCTGCTGCTAATGCTTTCCCCTGATCCTGATGTTGTCATGTGGTGATGTGTGCTTGTTTTTATGTTTAACTGATGTGAATTAAAACATACAAAACAAAAGGTTAACAGCTAACTTACCACCATATTAATGCACTGAGCCAGCTGATGAATGAACTTTTCCCCTCTCTGTGATTGGAGCAGGTGAGTCAGTACACCTTTGCCATGTGCAGCTACAGAGAGAAGAAGGCAGAGCCTGTAGAGCTTCTCCAACTGGATGGCTACACCGTGGACTACACCGACCCTCAACCAGGTAACAGAAACCACATGACACAGCTGCGCAGTGCATAACAACAAGCAACGCAGTGGAAGTGTCACAATTTGAAGTTCAATTTGTTGTTAACGTTCCTGTACACGCACAGTCCACCCACATAGGCGTTTGTTGCCTGATTATACCTGTTCTCAGGACTGTGGGGGGTGTACAAACTGAACATGGATCCAACAAGGAAGTGATTAAAGGTGTCCTATAGATTTAAACAGACTTCTATATAACCATTTAAAAAAACAGATAAATTGCCTTTCCATCCCTCGCTACTTCTAATGAATGTAATCCTGTTGATCTTAGCTTGAGTTTTAGGAGAGGTCTTGTGAGTGTTGGAGCAAGTGACCACAATAAGTTTTAAAACTGCTTGTGAATGTAACTCATGACATTCTGTGATAACCTCATAACAAACAATGTACTGATGATGAGACTTTTTTTAAATAGTCATGTCATTTTTTTTGGTGTTTTATTCTGACGTATCTACACAAACAGGAATGCGTGATCCTGTTAACACATAAACATAAACAAAGCTTCCTCTTCCTCCGTCCATCCTTTAGGTCTAGATGGCGGTCGGACGTTCTTCAACGCTGTGAAAGAGGGCGACACTGTGATCTTTGCCAGTGATGATGAGCAGGATCGGATCCTATGGGTCCAAGCCATGTACCGAGCTACCGGCCAGTCCCATAAGCCAGTTCCTCCCACCCAGGTCCAGAAACTCAACTCGAGGGGGAGCACGACGCCACAGCTTGATGCACCCATCTCTCAGTTCTGTGAGTGTTCAACACTCAGATTCTGACTAGTCTTTTAGTTCTCATACCACACAAATGCTTCTCCTCAAACAGGATGCAACCATGTTGTTGTCTATAATTTTTTTATTTTCTAACTTGATGATGCAGCATCCATTTCGACATTTTTAGGAAAATATTTGGCCCTGCATTTCTATAATTGTTGCATTTCAAACAGTTAACTTGAAGGCCCCCTGTCAGGCCAGAAATTGGCAGCACAAGTGACATCGATTGATTGAACTCAATGTTAAAAAAATGGGATACACTTGTCTGTTGCAGCCACATTTAATGCTTTATATTATTCCTATAGTAGCATTAGAAGCCCACTTACTGTATAGTAAGTGTATACTGTAGCAATCAGTGATCAATAAGTAGAATAAAAAGCAGTTTAGACCCTCCTTTTTATTACTCAGCTTCTTGTTCTCTCTTGTTCTTGATGTCCCACTCTGTCTCCTACTGCACAGTTGTCCTCACAACATTTATGACATATATGTTTCCAACTGTTACTGTTATTCTGTCTCCATTTGCTGCTTCGCTCTTTGTTGTAGAACTGCTGTAAGTGTTGGTGGCTTTGCTGTGTGTCTTTATGTTTCTCTGTATCTTCTTCCTTTTCTTCTTCTTCTTCTTCTAAACCCTGACCCCGCTATCTTGTAGCTGGATTAAAGGGTAAGTGCTTTCCTCCCCTTTCTTTCACTTTCCTCCTTTTGTTGTCCCATGCTCTTCCTCTTTTAAAAAACCTTTCTGTTGGTTATTTCTGTTTGAGGACAGAAAGACATACTAACTTCTATGTAATTTAACATGCATGCCGAAAGTATTTGCTTTGGCTGTGCGTCTGTCTGCATATTTGTCATCTGTAAAGGGACTGACTAGATCAGCCTACTAAAATGCTACAGTTCAGGGTTAACTTTCATAAAGGTTTTTTTTCCCATGAGGACTTCATCTTTGTGATTGCTGCAGAGCTATAGCATGTCTATTTTTAACGATCTGTGATGGTTGCTATATCACCTCCATTTAAAGAATCCTCACAAGCCAGCCTCATTTAGGATCTGACTGTACCATTGTGCAAATGTGGTGTATTTTTATTCACAAGGAAGGTTTTCTTTGATGATGTACTCATTCAATTTGGGACAGAAGCCTTTCACAATTAGATCACTTTGAACATGTTTAATTGTTTTGAAACAGTTGAACTGCAAGTTGTTATCATATTTAGTTATTTTTTATTTCACATAAGTTGTAAACTCGGAAGAATTGCGTCCTAGGTAAATGGATGGAAATTACCACATGTCATCTAGCCAAGGTTCTTTGCTTCAAAATTGAATTGTACAAATTAATGAGGACTGAGAAAATAATATGGAAAGAAAAGGTTCGCAGAATCTTAAGCGCTTCTTCACTGCTAAAGCTGAGCTCATTTGTTTTCAAACCCCTGTGCAGACAGAGAACACAGAGTCAGAAATGCAAATAATACCAAGGTTATTTCACAGGGTTCTTCTCAAGTCTCTTATTTGTCGTTTCCTCGATCCTCGCTTGAACCGGAAGTTGTTGCAGGCTGCCATCTGGCAGGCCGTCCCAAAGCTCTTATTTGCGCAAGGACCTAGGAGCGATCTCTGAGCGAGGATACATCAGTGCATCCTTCGTGGAAGTTTACTGACCGACACGCCCCCTTATTGCGTAGCTGTTATATTGATTGGACACTGTGGCTGATCGGACTGATCTGATTCATTACAACAGATAGTATTAAACTCAAGTGCATCACTGCAAAGAGTTGGTTTGTTTTATGATTCACTATCTAATTAAAATCTTCATAGTAGGTCTGAACAACAAAAGCCCCACACACAACTTTCTTCATTTAGGCCTATTAGAAAGGCCTATTTCTTTTTCTTTTATTTCTCCCATCAACTTTTATTATGGAGACAATTAAAGTCAGTCGGAGAGTCTGTTAGCAAGAAACATGTTTTACATCATTTCTCTCATTTCTTTTCAGTCACATGTGAGGCTGGTCATTCCTGTGTTTAGTCAAATAAACAACAATAGCCTAAATAGTAAACACTTAGCCTAAGGAGTTGGACTTCTAACTAAACTGCACTGAAGTCTTTAATGAAGCAAGCAAGGGAAAATAAAGCCAGCCAATCTCATCTACTGCATCTGATTGAAGCAGGTGGCGGCTCCGCAAGTAGCCTAAATTCAGCTGATGAAAGTATGAATGAAAACTTGGATTTATAATAATGGTGCGCAGTGATTGATAGGTGAGGAGTGACATGACTTGCAAATAAATTGTATTCTGTAGTGTTATCTGACAAGGAAATAAACGGAAAGCCTAAAACTGAGCGTCGACTTTGAGATGAGTTAGGCTACATCATTTAAATTTCCCTGAAACAGCCTAATTAATCCCAAGACAGCATGAACATATTCCAGGTTATTCAATAACGAATTCACAATCAGAATCAATAAATATAAATGCAGATAATTTAGCCTAAGCATTGTGCCTGTAGAAATGATCCTGTGCCTCTGAGCAGGACACAGGGCCTACAGTTGGCCTAACCTATAATTTATTATAATTATTGATTTGCAGGTGTTTGGCAACATCTACAGAGAGAATCATGCTGCTCTGCACTGATAACTGAGACTTTATTAATATCAGAAAAGTGCATGTGTGCAGACACAAACTTCATCAAAAGTGTGTAGGCGCTGATCAGCTGCCACCGTCATCAGAAACGGAGGTCGCTTCACGTGACGCTTCGGAGGAAAGGGCGTCTCATGTCTCTAAAAACATATTTCCTCATCCCTTCTCTCCTGGCTTGGTTTTCTTGCGTCTCTCCATGCATCCCCAGTGGGCGGGACTAAGACGCAAGGAAAAGATGCAAGTGAGAGAAACGTGGATGCAATTAAGAGACTTGAGAAGCACCCACAAATGTTTCTGTGCAGGGAAGGGGCAGAGTCTGAGGTATTTGGGAGGGCAGAATCCAGAGTGGAGTTTTAAAGGGCTTCAGACTAGACAGCAAGGTCTGTTTTTCCAGGTGAGGCAGGAGTGGTGCAGGACAGGAGTCTACCAACACAGGAAATTGAGGTTAAAATTGACTAGGAAGTACTGTCTACAATCTGGCTATGAGTGGAAGTGAAGCGAAAATAAGTAGCAGAGGTGATTGGCTGATGACAAGCAGCTGCTCTTCTCTGGACTCCCATACACCTGACTCCAACTCCTGGGAGGAGGTAGAAACAAACACTGAGCAGCTCTATGCTACTCATGCTGCGTTCCAGACTGCTCGGAACTGAGTTTCAACCTCAGAGAGTTCCAGGTGCATGGTGGTGCATGACTCCAAAAGTGAATGAAATACACTGCTGACCGTGACAAACTCTTTGTCAAGTGTACACCAAGTTGCACCCTCTGTCCTTGGTGTTAATTAAAATTCTGTCTGTTTTAATGAAGTAGGTAGGTAGCGGGGTTGATGCGTGTGTTCATTCGCACATGCTGCTTTCGTTTTACCTCGGAAGTCGGAGGTCGGAGCTGGGAATGACGTCACACCCGAGTTGACGGCATTCCAGGCAACAAGTCGGAAAACCTCGCCCGCCCAGCTGTTTGTTTACAATTAGCCAGGTTAGCTATTGATACGCCGGTTGATTAAAAAAACGCATTTTGCGGTATTTACTCACACTAAACACTGTAGCAACATGTCCACAGACAGCAGCTGGACAGCACTTTGTGTACGAACATTTATATGAGTCACAAGTATGCAGAAGTGCTAATAAACAGTATAAACTACAGCTTTCACTAACTGTCGATACCCCGACAGCCATCTTGGATCACAAAGTCGGGGTAGTGCGGTTGTCCCGACTTTCCGAGTCGGAAATCCAACTTCAGGGGGCGTTCCAGCTGAAAGTTCCAACTGGGAACTCGGAAATTCCGACTTCCCATGTCAAATGGAACGCACCAACAGACTTCACTCCGTTAAAAACTTGAAATGACGTTACAAGTCGCGGTGGATATTTTACAAGTACGGACCAGGTAACGTTAAAGCAACATTCAACACAGGACGAGACTATTAAATGTGGAGTAAGCGATTCTAATCCAAAATAAATATTTTTGTCAAATTTAGCAAGTATTTCCTCACGGTCCACTAGCTGTCCGTTCTGTGTGTGTGCACTGTCTCTGTAAATGGGAAACAAACAAAGTTGCTTGGACTGAGCCACACAACACTATTCCAGTCGTGATGTTTGGTGGATGTCTCCAGAATCGCTTACTGCATCTTTAAGGCACCCGAGAGATACAATCCAGGAAGTCCAGTAACAGATGAATGTATTTAAAGGCTTATTAGACTCCAAAATGCTGCACAGCGGTTTGAAGTACAAGGTTTTATCGAGGTAAAAACTGAATTACAACATTTGTTACAAAATAATTTTCCAGGAATGTTCGTGAATGTAACCATGTTTCATGTTAGGTAGACATCAACCTATGACATAACCTCATAAATGAAGGCATTACCAAATTGCTTCCTTTAGCCAGATAATTTAGTTAAAAAGATTACCAAAAAAGAAATAAAGTTTTCAAGAAAATGTCAACAGACTGTATCAACACAAAATGCACAAAACAGCATAACTAACCCAAGAGAGTGCAGACCAATGCACCCAATAAGTGATTAACTACTTCTTGTGTGCGTTGTGTAAGTGAATTTACTGAGCGAGCTGTTTTTACACATAACCACTGGTGTCCCACTGTGTCCCAGCAGCTGGTAATTACCAAGTTAAAAGTGCCACACCATGAATAATACAGTGTGGTTGCTGCACAATTAAATCAGGCAGCAATCAGTCAATGTTACCAAATAACTACTTGTCAGTTCACACCTGGATCAGCGAAATGAATAATATAACATCATGTCACCCCCTACCCAAATTAAAACAGACTGCTGTAAAACATTGTAACAGAGACAGATTTAAGTGAGTTATGTTTTTAGCAGCAGAGAGGTGAAATTGATCTTCACAGTTTACTCCTT